CGCAGTTATGATTATCTGCCAAGGTTCATATAAGGAGTTTTTCCATGGACAGTATGAATCATCATTTCAGATAAAAAGAAAGTATACAAACGTTATCTGCTTAAAGTGGACAATTACCACGATCGACGGTTTCTTTAACATGTTGAATGTGACATTAATTTTACGTAGCTTGTCGACAGGTTTGCAGATGTGGCGAACATGAATTTTTTATTATGCGTTACATATTATGGTCAAATATTACTTACAATAGACAAGTTAAAGTGTGTAATCATGTGTGATGCATTTATCTTACTAGGAGTCTACATACTATTTTAGTAATGATGATGATATTGAAAAATTTAAAAGCATTGAAGTTTGCTCGAATTGTGTGTCTCTATTAAACTTGGCTTTGCCGGTCGCTGGTGATTCCCATGTGTCAAAAACAGAACAAGATATAGTACTCCACTGAACAGAATAGTTATCCACTTCAATCCTCTTTCTAGAGTACTAAAGATGTCTAATCCATGTGACACGTTCTGCCAGTCATACAATTTTTTTTAGATTTTTATTTTCCACAGATAGTAAAGCTACTGCAAAAATACGTGGATTTAATAGAGCCCTACGACAGATATATTACTTAACACATTCCAAACAGATTTGGCACAGATAAGCTTCTAAAATAAACAAAAATAGTAGATCCACCAGATTTATCTGGAACGTGTTAGATACAAATGAACTACACTAATTGTAAGATGCGATTTCCATTTACTTGTTAATTCCGTCCATGACAATCTATTTTTCCAATGGCATTTATAGTTTTGCTAAGTTACTCTCGCCTTTATTTCGTCTTAAACTTCTTGAAATTGTCCATCCCTTCCACTCTATTTCAGTCACGTTCAATATGTTTCATTTCCGTTCTTGATTTACTTACAAAGTTGGCGAATCATCTTATACAAGCGACTATCAAGTGGCGCTATTGCATTTAACAATATGCTTGTTCCCTTTCGGACGATATTTAGTTCCGTATGATTGATATAAATTATTAAAATAATTGTTTATAAAATTAATATAAATTCGCAGTGTAAAGCAAAAATACAGCACATGTAATATAATTTGCATTACAGTTAAGGGCTGTTGGGATGTAGAAATATAATAAAAGCAGTTCAAAGGGTTATTGGAATATATAGAACATATCTGTGATTTAATATGCATATTTAGAGATCTGAATTTGCACAGTCTGCATGATCCAAACATTTGTCGGATTTAATTCAAACCTGAGATATCAGATCGAGTAGAGCTATAGGATCAAGTGTCTGGTCATATCGTGAGATCATTTTTGCGAGATCATATCCAAGCTGCGTTAATGTAACTCATCTGTGAACTACTCTACGAAAGAATTGAGCTATTAGATTGTTGCACATGAAATCGCGGTTTTTTCACAATTTAAATCTCACTCGTTTGTAGTTTAATTTCATCGCTGCAAATGGCATTGTATGTGCATAATTTGAAAAATATATGCTCAATATGAGAATTTATATTGTACAATACGTGTAACTGAAAATCGTTTTATTAATTATAGAAACAAAAGAAATTCATATAATTTATTTGTACGAGTTCAAACTCGTACATAGTGCGAGTGAGGCAACGCGGAACATAAACACTGCTCTTGGCGAAAATACTGTAAATAATCGAATCACCAGGCGTTGGTTTGAACAATTTTGTTCTGGTGATATAAACCAACTGTTTCCCGACAGCTAAAGGTATTGAGAAAAGTGAAAAAGTTAGACAGTTGTGACTCCTACACGAACTCACTGAGAAGGACAGAATCCGTCAGAATTCATAAAACAAACTGTTACAAAGTTAACAGAATTGAAGTCGGAAATTCTTTCCCCCTCTCCTTATTCCCATGATATTTCACCTGCAGACTACCAGATTTTCGAGCAGACTTTTCGATTGAAAAATTATTTCGAGAAGAAGCTGATGTAAAAACTGAATTTAATGAATTCATTGCCGCCCGTTCTTCCGATTTTCTTTTTAAAGAAGCATTCATGCTCTTGTATCACGCTTTGAAAAGTGTATTGAAGTTCGGTTAAAGAAATATTTATTGAGTTCATTAAATAAAAGTTTATCTTAAAAGTTCAGAAACCATCATTTCATCTGCAACAATTTAAAATACTATGAACTACTATGTTGCTCAAATACTATCCTCACGAGTTTGACCGGAATAGCTAAGGAATTTCACGGAATTTCACTCGGCAATTGGTTCCAATTTTCTATGATACCTTATGAAGGAATCGAAGTAGTATGTTGTTCAAATACTACTCTCGTGAGTTTTTCATTATAGCAGGAGAATATCATTCAGAAATGGCCCCAATTTTTCGTGGTACCAGCCCATATTATCTGTATCAATCACTCTAAAATCATAGGTACCGGCACATGCAGCATTGCCTGGATGGACCATGCAGCTTGGACACCTCGAGATTGCTGGATGCGTGCTACAGCCCCCACCGGAGCTAGGTTCGTGGAATCGAATTAGTAGAACAAGAAAATAGAGGATGCGACCCGCAGCGTTCTAGTTCTTCGACCTTGTCATAAGGACTTACTAATTAATAGAATCTTGGGAGTGCAAAATCAGTGTTCAAGAATGGATTCCCTATTTATCTAAACATGTAACAAACGAGATTTCTGATAAAGAAAGCATTTTTGAGACCGAAGAATCCGAGATTGGACTTTTAGGAAACATAATTGAACACTTCCGGACTGCTCATTGCGTAAATACGAATCCACGAAAATCCTTGCAAGTTTCGTAGAAGTACATGTGTTTTTGTTGTGTAAGTGTAGTAACACTGGATTGGTTTCCATCACTATTCGCGCAGCGCAACGCGCTAGCGCTGGACCAATCATTTATCTATCTATATCATTGCTAAAAAAAGAAGTAAAAATCGAGTTTTCGACATTTTTCTGTGAGAAAGTCAGTTATACATAAGTTCTAATATTCGGTAACTGCATTATGTAATGTTAAACGTTTTTACCTTCGCAAAGAAGCAATTTTTGAAGTTAGAAAATGAAATTCCAGAAGAAACGAGAATTACTTTTTGATTTGAAGTTTTGAACAGAATAAAATAAATAAAAATACTGAAACGAATGATAATTAGTTACGCAAATTTTGCTCGTAGAGATTCTATTCTACAATGTCGATCGATTTTTACACGTGCAACAACCCTTTGCATTCGAGTGACAATGTAAAATGCCATACCATAATTCACAACACTGTTTGTGTTCAATAAATTGTTAAAAACTTAGATGTGGTGCTAGTAAATGCATCTAATTTCATATAAACAAAATGAAAACGATGATATAGAATGTAAATATTACGTTGGAAGAAATGTCTGCATCATGGAGGTGAAATAACTTCGAGTGCAGGGAGTTAATTTCTAATTCAACCCTTAAATTCGAATTCATCATAAATATTGTATATGCGTTATATCCGAACCAATTGATTACAACGAATTACATGTCGAAGCTGGATCACCTTTGTCGTGACTTCTCCCAAGCACAGACTCAATGACCATTCAGTCTCCAGTATCAGATCTACAGCAAGTTTCTATTTGGTAATGAGCTGCGTCGACGATCTGAACGAACTGCTCCTTTAGTTCCCGCGCCTTCACGTAAACGTCTTCCTTCATGAGATCATAGCACATCGCGATGAGTCCCATGCCAAGCAGTAAATAAACAAAATTAATGATCAGTTTGGTCTGACTATCGGTGGTCAGGTCGCCGTGCGTCCAACCAGGTACGAGATCTCCCATTCCAATTTTACACAACGATGTCACGCAGAAATAAGCACTGTCCAAGTAGTCCCATCCTTCCCACTCCGCGAACATGACCGATCCGCCCAAGACGTATCCAAAGATCACCCAGAGGCAAGCCGTCGAAGGTACGGTTATCCTCTGGCCAGGCTTCTTCTTGCCGGTGCACTCATGCAGCCAGGTGTACAGCCACCGGAACGTCTGCGCCAGCACTTTGCCCATGTTGAGGAAGTAGAGTACGTAAAGAGGTATCCCCATCACCGCGTAGATCACGGTGACCCCCTTGCCCCAAGGTGTTTGGGGAACCAGAGTCCCGTAACCGATCATCGTAAAGACGGAGAGGCAGAACATCATCGCTGCGGGGAAAGACCAGAGATCGACCGACGACAAACCGCTGCAGTTCTCCTTCTTGTAGCTGCTGGTGAAGTTCTCCTGATAATTCCGAAGGATTTCATTGGACAGCAGATAAAAGGTCGTCTTGTTGAACACGTTCACCGTCTGGTTGCTAGCCGTGCTGTACCATAGCCTGTCCGCGTATCCTTTCCTAATCAATTCCCGAACACAGCCGGTTGACGGAAGTTGGGCTTGGGACTCGATCATCCTGAAACCGAAGGCTCCGATTATTGCGTAACCGACGACCAGTCCACCGACGCCCACTTGGGTGCACATGAAAGCGACCAGTTTGCGGCAATAGTCTTTAATGCGTTCTCTCGGGTCCGGATCGGTCGATGTCGACGAAGAATCCCGGCTCCGTAGAGAGGATCTTATTGGGACACGCATGATAATTCGTGCAGAAGACGAAAAGCAGGCTATGGTACTTGAACCACATGGAACTTCACGTTCGGTGATACTAAACTTTCGGGCCGCTTTTCTATTTCTGTCGGACGATGCTTCGTCTTACCTTCCATCCTTTTCTTCGTCCCCTTGTCTTTCTCTCTTTGTTCCACCGTTCCACCCGCTTCGTGCCCGAGGTCAACATTTATAAATAGATTACAATTACAATTATAATTATTCGATAACAAGATTAAGGTCCGGGATAATCGTCTCGAATTTGCATTTCTTTCTATTAAATGCGGAAGTGCTCAATATTTGTATCGAACCTGCTGGGAGTTTATCCATTTAATCGCAATTATGCTTGAGCTGTTTCAATTAATGTTATTAGCTCCTTAAGTGTTGACTAAAATGAGGTAGTACATTTGAAGAAATATCTACTATTTATATCAGTTTTGTGGCATTACATTATATTCCATTGAGATTACACTGTATCCATATCATAAATCATATAAAAATCATGGTACACTAAATTTTTCATAAATATCACAAATTAAATGACGTGGTTCTTTATTGTTTGGTTACTGAGAATGGATTGATTATTGAGAAATTCTAAAAATTGTACACATTTAGTAAGAATGTTTATAATTAAGATTGCTTAAGTTCGTAATTGTTATAAAATAGCAAGTTGCATTGCAAAAAAATTGGAGACTCATTTCCTTGAAATCGGATATAAGGATTGCAGTTGTATATGAAAGTATATAATGCTTTCATCGTTAGAAAAATTATTTAACGCATATGAAAATTAACTACAATCGTTGTACCTTTATGCAACAGAGACGGTATTGTTTATATATGTGAGCCATTTTGTCGTTAAATACGTGATTCTAAACACACGAATTTGAGAGTGATTTAATTGTGTTTAACCAAAAGGTAAATTTAACTTTTCGAAAACGTGGCTTCTGCAGGTTCAACTTGAAGTCATGAACAGACATGTTGCGTCTGGTACATCGTAGATGTAAGTCTAACAAGTGACTCGAATAATCCTCCTCGTGCTTAGACATCTAAAAATATCTGAATATTCCCATTCAGACGAGTTTACTCGGTAGAATTTTGCAGCCTGTATTTTCGAGGCTAACGTATTAACAGTAAAGTTATTTTTTGTTATAATCGAATTATCAAGCGATGGTAATAAACCATGGGGATTTCATATTAAATATTCGAGAAAGTGTAACGAGTTTTGCGGTTTAACTTTTCTTTTCAGTTTCTTGTGGAAATTATATATTACAAAAATAGTCGAAACTTGCATAGAATGATTGAAGATATTTTTGATGCCGGTAAAGACTGGTGAATTCGACACACTGATACCTGATAGAAATCTCTATGAGATTTTAATCTCAAGCGATGTTAAGAAATACTACTACTTCGAAAGCATTTTTAGCGACTAGATAAGTTTCAGACGTGTTCAAACAAATATAAAAAACTATACTTATGTTAATATATTTAGAATGTTGTACGATCAAAATTTTTTAACGTTTTAACTCGTCACTTACACACAGTGAATACCTATAAAAATTAAAATTTTGGTTAA